GCAACAGAGAAGATTTATTTTTAAGATTTTGCTGATAGTCTGATCACAAATTAATGAAAAGTCGATGAATAGGTTGATGAAATATCGATGATATGGAAATCCTGTTATTGTTGATAAATAATTTTTCACTGAAGCCAGCCTGGCACATGCCCATGCTAATTTTATCAGTAATCATCATCTATGATTCATGATTAATCATGATTAATCAAAAAGATACTTCTGACGAACGGACTGATGGCTGATACTGCAGCGGACTTCGACTTCAGTGAATTTTTTGCAATGAATATCCGAACTTAAAATCTAGAACTTTTGATAATAAACCAACAAAAAGGTCAAAGCTAAATGTAAGCCTACTTTGAGTAGCTTTATTGACTTCTATCTTTGAAAAATGTAAGGTCCTTTTTACGTTAAACTTTACCACTAATAATTTCCTGGTTTTGTTACATACTTACCCACTAGCCAGATATACCTCTGATACCAACACTTAGGCCACGTTAGCTGCCAGCTGGAAATCAGTCCACCAGAGAGGCCGAGAGCACCGAAGAAAGACGATGTGAGAGCGTCTTGAGGCACAGGTAAGCGCTACCTGTGAGCCGAGAGCGAGGGAGAGAGGCCCAGAGACCCAGTGGGAAATTCAGTGCCTCCGCTAATGGGGGTTAGAGCCCCAGAGCCTCTTATCAAGCAGAGTCAAAGCAAACAGGTATATTTGTATTTCGTATTGAAAGTCACTTATCTAAGTGGCAGAGAGAGAGGAGCTCTCTGAGAGGGAGAGCAAAAGAGCGTTTAGGAGCTAACTCTCTCGTGTCTCAGAACCTGTTGCTGTGTCCAGTTCTGGGCCATAAGAGCGACAGAGAGAGAAGTAGAGATCCAAGCGGGCCAAGAACCTGTTGCGGCAAAATGGCCTGCAACTTAGCCAAAAAAAAAAAAAGAGAAAAAAAAACACGCACCAAACTAAAGCCGAAAAAGAAAACAAAGGGAATAAGAACATCGTGTGGCAAGAAAGCCAGCCAAAAGAGCCAGGCGGATGAACAAAGGAAAGGAGAACGGCTGATAAGCAAGGCCGTTGAGTCTTCAAAACGAATGGTCGGAGATCCGAGATCACAGAGATCCAGAGATTCTGAGGATTCGGCCGGGACTCTGCTTCCCATTTCCATTCCCATTCTGATTCACTCAAAGTTGATTTATGTTCTGTTTGCACTTTTGATTTTCAGCGCAAGTTGATTTTAATTAAGAGTGTGTGTGCTCTCAGGAGATTTCTGGAGGAGAGGAGGAAGACCAAGCGGGAGCTGGAAGACCACCAACGAAGTCGGGGTTCCGAACTTGAACTTCTTGGCCATCAAAAATTATTGATCAATTACTTAATTTTGATGGAAAAAAGATCAATTGATGACTTCTAGAGCAATGGTGTTGGAAAATCATATAGGGTTTTGAGCCTGAAGTTTTTTGCCATTCAAAATAATAGAACAAAATTTTAATAATTTAATTTTGGATGAAGAGTAATCTGTTTTATAGGTAAATCTAACAATATACTAGGATCTAAGAGATATCAAGTCACTCTTAGATTATGTTTGTTAGGTAGGTTATTTTTACACAATACATAATGTATTTTATTACAATACTACCATTTATTATAAAAATATAAGATATTTTCCGGGAACTATATTAAATGAATTGTAAAATAGTATTTTGAATGATTAGACCTTGGTTCAGAACTTTGTAACCGGAAGGAAAGGTACTTTATTAACCTTTCCTTCCGGAATAGAATCCAAAAACCCTTCAAATTCGAACTTGAACCCTTTTTGGCCCAAATCAAATTTGGTTACCATAATTTTATCGGGCATGACCGAACCGTTAAATCGAAAGCTCTCGCATATCGCACGCAAACCAGGTGCTAATGAGGCATTTTGTTTCTGCTTTGGCTAATTTATTGTTTACGGCCGTGCCAAGAGAGTGGCGCAGATTTAACGGTATAAGCGAAAGGTTAGCCCAAACATGCAAATATCATATGGCCAGAATGCCAGTGTCCCGAAGCCCAGAACAAAGACCAATCAACGGTGTCGGTGTCGGTGTCGATGTCTATTTCTAGACAGATTCGCAAGATCTTTGGGCCTCACTTTTTTTTGTGACTAGTTCCGATTGGTTCATTGAACGATTTTAGACGTTCTGCTTTTGGTTCTGACCCATCTTCAAAGGCATGAAACACACTCCAATACTCCCATGTCGGATTCCCAGCTCGAGGTTCGCACCTCCAGTCGTCATTCCCAATTAATCATCGCTTTGGCTTGTTGATCCAATCGCATTTGCTTTGCAAAAGACACAAGAGAGTTACAAAGCTGAAAGGGGGGAAAGGTGTAAAGAGAGGCGGCGAAAACAAGTTTATGGAGGGGGTGTACACTGTGAAAAAAGAAATGTAATTTACAAGAAAAGATTACAAATTATGTGGACCTCTTTTTGGCCAAAGTTGTAGTTATTTTAATATAGTTTTAAGATAATCATTTCAAATAATAATGTATAACTAACAATCTTTTAATTTGAAAATGATTATAGAACAAGCACACATTTTTCGGGGGAAACTTACAGGAAAAACTTAACTGATTTAGCTGAGACTATTAATTATTAATTAAGTTATAATTGTATTAATAAAAATGAATTTCTTAAGTTAAGATTATTGCTTTCTTTTTTCCTTAAAAAAATACTTTTTATTTAAACAAAATCTACACCATTTTTTCTCTCTGCACTCAAAGGGAAGCTTGGAATGTGCCGCGACTATCAATCAATCTGCCTTTGCCCCCTTCCCTGCGACCTCTACCAAATTCGGTCTATTGTCCAGCGGCTGTTACCAAATCCGTAGACCGGCTTTTTATATATCCATAGGAAAAGCCCCAAAAATCACCCGAAGGTTATCGCTTATCCGGAGACTACTCCTCCGATTCCGATTCCCCGATTCCGTGGTTAGGTCGGATCTCCTCTATCTGTTTAGGCATTCAGGTGTGCGAAACGTGTGGTGGAACACTCCCTCATGCGGGGACCCAGATCTCCGTTTAGCGATATAACGCGCACTGGAGACCCATTTAACGTGGGAAACGGTCGAGCCAGGCCAGGGCCCTTTTGCAAAAATTGAAAAGTGATCACAACTACTAGGAGCGGGCCCCAAATGTGAGTTGCATTTCAATTTCAGAGAGACGATGACGACGACGTCATCGGCTTCTCTGCTCCATATGGCAGCAAAATTTGCATTCAGCCATGTGTGGTTTTTTGTTGTTGTTGGTTTTTTGTCCAAGGAGGGGGAGTTACGCAGGGGAGTGCATTTTTAATGTCAAGCAACTGGCCGGCATGCCAAAGGTATTATGACATACATTTCAATTCAATTTTTAGATAAAGATGCGCCGCTGCTGCAGTTTGCTTTTCTTCTTTCGTTCGCTCACTGAATGTGTATATTTTTGAAAAAATGCAACAAAAGCGGACGGTGGACCACGGACGATGGACGACATTTGTGTGGCCGGGGAATGAAGTTCCGCCATTGGCGATGATGTAAACATCAAAAACAGATACAGTCTCCCGACCCGAATCTATCTCTTTGAGTACAGTAAAATGCAGATAAATGGGTTATCGCCGGATTAGAGGTGGGTCACGGAAGCCATGGGATTCAGCTAGACTTTGCACTTTGAAAAATTTAAATATATATTTCCAGTAAAATAACATAACATAATTTCTTAATTGATATTTTAGATGTAGATTGAGATTATGCCAGTTTAGAAGTATGAATGCAAATTAGGGCCACTGGTTACTTGTCCTATTAGCCAATGTCCACTGTGGCAATGACGCTGTGCCTGTGGGAGCTTGGGCCACGATCTTCAGATCAAATCGAATCGGACCAGCGGCCATCCTATAATATAACCTGGTGGCATTTGCTGCGGGCCATGCTTCGGTTTGTCAGTCAGTCAGTCTGCGAGTCAGTCAGTCAGTCAGTCAGCCAGTTCGTCTAATTGGATTTGCGCGCTTGTGCGTAACTATAAATCACACACAAACACACTACACACAGCGCACGAGAGACCCAAAGACTTGGAGCAGGGACAACCGGTTTGATTGCCAAGTCACCCGCTCATAGCGAAGTGCAGAGATCCCATCGAGCTTTTTTTTGTTTTTTGTTTTTATTTCTTCTCCTCCTCAAAACTATTTGTAAGTTGACCAAAAGAGCCACAAAAAGTAAAAAGTTGTTGCTGTTACCGTTCTTGTTTCCCCGTAATAAACAATATAAAGAATATAGTTATGCGGCTGCATAAAGCCCAAACGTATCAGCTTACGCAACCCAGAAAATCTGGACGGCCCCACTCCTGTAACATTTACATGGCTGGCACTCGTCGCCGGTCGTGTGAAAATTATTAATGGAGCCACTGTCTCCGGGACAAGTTCATGTGTCATGTGTGTGTAAGTGTGGAAATTGTACTAAACCTTCCCGGAAAAACAGGCTTATGATTTATCGGAGTACCGCCGCCCAGGTTGTAAGCGGATGTTGTAACCCCACAATTGCCAATCTAAATGGCCAGGTTCTGGCTAAAAAGCCGGAGCAACTACTTACTCCCAGATGAACTCTACCCAGGCCCAGGTCCAAAAAAAAAAAAAAAAAAAAAAAAAAACATTCCATTTGCCGGTGGTCTTCTTCCATCAAGCCCCACATGTGACTTGAACTTGTGCTGAACTTGTACATAGCTTCCTTCGGCTACTTGAATTTCACAGGGAAGGACGTCTGGCGAGCCTATAGAATTACAGTAAACAAAAAAAAAATACCCAAAGACAAGTTAATTGAAAGCCAACACCGCCATATGGCTTAACCGGTTTTGAAAATGGCGCCAAATCACATAACGTACATTTCCAGTGTCTGGCAGCACCGTCATATCGATTGCCTCGATGATTATTGCAATATCGATTTCTGAAATAATTATCAAACTTAAATCGAATGTTTATTCGGGATTTTATAAGATCTATTACGATTACGACGAGTTGGCAGCACTTGATAATTTACAGTTAAAATCCATTTCAAAGCATGCCGCCGTCTGCAAAACGTTGATATTTCTGAAAATTTCGAACAAACCAAGCGAAATGGAGACTGGTGGGAAATTGAGCTATGTGAAGAAAGTGATCCACTCGCTGGTGGTGTCCTGTCCAGCACGGATGACCATCGAGCAGCTGAGCCGCGACTATCGCAGCGAGGAGGGCTGCTATGTGCCTTATAGCGCGCTGGGATTCCGCGACATCGAAAGCTTCCTTCGGTCCATATCGGACACCGTTGTGGTAGGTACTACTACTAATACACTATGGATAGTATGCTAAGCAATCATATTGACAGGTACATGGTTACGGACCCACGGCCAATGTGGTGGCGGTGACCACCGCGAAATCGGCGCACATACAAAACTTGGTCCAGTGCCAGAAGAAGCCCAGCAGGCGTTATCGGGACAAGTTAAAGCCAAGGTTTTTCTACCAATCGGAGCAATCGGATCTGCGCTTTATAAACGAAAGCATCCGGAACATGAAGCAACTGCAGCAACGGCAACAGCAGCAAAGACAACAACAGCAGCCGCAGCCGCAAAGGCGATACCAGCGGCCTGTCCACCAAATACCAGTCTCCTATCCCAACTACAGTCTTTTGAACAGACCCCCGCCAGTGCTCTATCCCAATATAAACGCCCTTATCTGCGCCGGACAGCAGCAGCAGCAGGTGCCCTATACTATCCCACCGATGTGGTATAACCAAATGCTTGCGATGCTGACACCGTTTCCCTATCCCTATCCGCAGAACGTTCCGATGTTCCCAAATATTGCACCGCTCCTCCAGAGTCAAAATCTTCCAAGATCCGAGGTACGGAACTTTCAAAATCCTCAACCACAGGCAAATCCTCTGCCGGAAAAACCAGAAATCAAGATCAATGAAGTAGTGGAATCCTTCAAGAAACTGTCGACTACGGAGGATACGGCTCCCACTGGATTTATAGATCCGCTGGATAATGAACCATACATATCTGAAGGCGATGACTGGGTTAAGGATGACTCCAGTTCAGAGGATGGAGAGTGGTCACCGCCGCCGCCAAATGATGAGAGGTCCGAACTGGCCAGCCCCATTGATGAAGCAGTGGAGCTCGAACTGGAGGAAGTTTCCCAAAGCGAAACCAAGCGGCGGGAACCCTTGCCTACAATTCCGGAAAATATAGATGAAGCTCAGCAGCAGAATAATCCCTTCTATGAGTCCTCGAATGAGGTAAAATCTGGTTTTAAATATATATTTCTTAAATAAAATAATAAAGTTTCTCTTTCCTAGGAAAACCCCGATCTTCAGCCTGTGCCCAGCCAGCCTCAACGTTTTATGAATCCTTTTATAGACTACGAATCCTCTGATGACGGGAGCGATGAAAATGCCATTCCAGCCGATGCAATTGTAAAAGTTTAGATTGAAAATTCACAACAATCATTCATCCTCGATTTCTTTGCAGGACGATCGAGTTCTAGGTGTTGACTACCCCAAGGAGTGCGTACGTTCCGATTTCAAGCTGCCAGTTCTCGAGGCCTCAGCCATGTTTGAGATAGGCCAGCGCATCGAGGTTCAGTTGGTGCGGGTAGAGCACCCGCACAGCTTCAAATTTTGGATATACAACGAAAAGTACGAGGACTACAATGCCATGTACCAAAATATGCAGTAAGTTATCATTGACCACATTTATTTAATAGTTAATAAACCACCTGATCTCCTGCTCAGATTCTGTTACGAGAATCAGTTTCCGGACAAGTACAAAATGCCATTGTCCCTGATCACCACAGATCATATCTGCGCAGTGCGCTCCAGCAAAAGTGGGGCTTGGGAACGAGCCCAAGTGATAAGACATCAGCCCGGTAACTCCAGCAAGATTGTCGAGGTGCAGCTGGTCGATACCGGGGACGTGATGTGTGTGAGCCACATGTATGTTAGGCATTTGCTTAAGGAGTTTGCCACTCTGCCGGCGCAATGCTTAAATGGCCGCCTGGCTTATATTACGCCCTGGAAGGGTCCCGGCTGGTCAGCCGACGCGGTTAAGTACTTCTTTAGGTTGGTTTCCTTTCGCCGTCTCTACGCTAAGATCGAGGACATTAAGGTGAGTGTTTTTGGGGCTTTCTGAAAGCGTTGCAGCTTTTCTAAATATGCAATCTTTGCAGGATAACTTTGCCTGTATGGTGCTGGTAGATCCGAATACCACGCCGAATCTGAACAAGGCCCTCGTTGACTCTGGTTGGGTGCGTCGCTGTTACACAACCTAGACCTAAACTTATAGAAAATTCGTTAAAATGGACATGGAATGTCACAGTTTGTTATTAAGTTCTTCAACTACAAATTACGTTATTATCGCCCAGATATCTTTGATTTACGGACCTCAACAAATTAAAACTCATTTTTGTATTATTTTTAAGGCAAACGCTGTCCTTCTGCTTTTCGTTTTTATTAGTTTACGTGTAATAAAATACTAAGTTACATAAATCCTTCAACAAGTCGCGCTGGTGTTCTTCGCCTGATTTATGCCGGAAAGTAAAACAAACCAGGAAACTAAATAAATATACATATATACCATATATATATATGTTATCTCGGAACGGAAATACGAAATCTGAATGGAAAATTAGAATGATCTTTGCTGCACGGCAATAAATACTTGTAATGTAACTGAGGCGGCATTTTATTTTTAACAATTCCCTATAAAAGACAACATTGTCTATGTTTTTGTATATATATGTTGTGTATATAGTTGGTTTCTTGTCGTCTGTTTTGTTATTTTCTGGTGACCGTTGAAACGACGGCACCCTGAGGTTGGTTTTTAATATATTTTTTGTTTTTTTAATTTTTTTTTTCTTTAGGCTTTTCTACTACGTTGTGTGTCGAGTGGTGTTTTTTTGTTTAGTGAGTGAAAAACTAATAGTTCAACTACTAATGCGCATTTCGTTAAATTTGCTTAAATACTTTTAATTTTTGTTTCGCTTCTGGGTTTTGTTTTTGTTTTGTATATTGCTGAGTTATGTTCTCCCTTTTGGTTTTGTTTTCTTTTGTTTTGTTGCAATGCGTATTTAAATATGCTATATAATCGCAATAATACATAATTGTTGGTTGTTTGTTTGTTTTGTTGGTTGCTCTCGAGTACATAATAGCTACGCGCATAAATATGTTTTGGTATGCTGTAACGCTTCGCTTCGTTTATATCATAAGTTAATGCATATGTGTCTGTCTGACTGTTGCCTGTTTTACCTCTCGATCCGGGTCACCTGTGGCCAGCTACAGGTGTGCTTCGCGTGTTTGTGTGTGTCTGTGTGGTTTTGTAGTAGGTCCATAGGACTAACACCTATGTGTAGCAATTCAAAAGTCTATTCACTTCGTTATCGTTACAATATCGTGGGCATAAAACTTAGATGTAGATTTACTTTATATGTCGGTATCTAGTATGTTGTGTGTGTGTGTGAGTGTGTGGCAATTCTTCTATGGCTGCGTGGTTGTGATTCTCTGATCTGATCTGTCGTCTTGTCTGCTGGCTTTTGAGTTCTTCTCTATCGTATATTTATCTCTGTATGTTCTCGTTTTCTCTGTTACTCGGTTTCACTTTTTTTTTGTTAATTTTTTTTTCGATTCTTATATTAAAGTCATCACAGTTAGCGGAGCTGAAATTATGAATAATTATTGAGGACATTTTTTGTGTAATTGTTTTGTTTGTTCTTTTTTTTTTTTTTTTTTTTTTTTTTTTTTGATTTTTCATTTTTAATACGTTTTTCTACTAAATCGCAATTGCATATATAGAGTGTCTACCATAAATTGATTCTTTTTTTAGTGTACTCTTATCGCGTCTTGGGGTTCCTTTTGCTAAATTATTATATACGCATGTGTGAGTGTGGGAGTCCTGTGTTTTATGTGTGAGTGTGGATGTCGAGATGTGGTTGAGTGAGTGTCCTGCGTGCCGCTGGACTCAGATGGTTGCCCGATGCCCACCGGCACCGCTAGTCGTCCCCATCATCATCATAGTCATCGTCGTGCCTCAGTGTCATGGAGTGTTGCCCTCGAACAGAGCACGGAACTCGCCGCTCCGGGGTCGCGGCAATCCCTCTCGTATCGTCTGCACCGGCTCAGCAATGCTCGACTCTGACCCATGCAGTAAATTCTCCTTGAGATCCATGTCACTGAAAGAGGCGGGCATGATGTTAGCTCAAGTATTTATAAAGATGAGAATTGTATATTTAATTGTGATTTGAATACTCCTTATTTCTTTGCATTTTCCCCCCTTTGGCAACTCACTCATCTTTGCAGTCATCCGCCTCGGCAGCCAGAGCATTCACCACAGCAGTGATCGTGTTCGACTCCGGATTGCTCAGCTGCTCGTCCTTCTGCTGCATTATGTTTGGATTCTTGCCAATCTTGTTCAACCGCTCGGCGGCCACAGTCTCCATGGTCTTGCGCATCAGCGGATACTGATCCAGAACGCAATTGAAATGATCCACGCTCAACGAGAATAGATTGCAATAGGTTTCGGCTCGCACGCTGGCCACACGACGCGCATTGGTCAGCAGACAGATCTCACCGAAGTAAGAGCCGTCCGATAGTGAGGTGGCAACCTGTGTGGATAAAGAAATTAATTATTAAAGAATGTAAATAGGTGTAATGAGGATATATGTTGTTACCTCGCCGTTGGCCATGACAATGTCCACCACGCCCTCCTGTATGAAGTACATCTTTGTACCGATCGTACCCTCCTTTATGATAATATCACCTGGAAGATTCAAAAGGCTCATTAGATATTGAAATATATAATATATAAAAGATAAAAAGAGAATTTAGCATTAGAATTAGAGTTGGTGATGGGTATATGTATATTTTGTATTTCTTAGGGAAGCTCATCAGTGGTTTTTAAGGCGTGCAAATCGCAGAATGTGTTAAATATATAATTTCAGCTTAAAATAAAACCAAAAGCTTAACAAAAATTGATTTAAAATTAATTCTCAAAGCTTAAACAAGACATTCTTATTATTTTTCTACAATGATCACCTTTGTTAAGACCAAAACTATATTTATATTAATTTTTAAATAGAATTTCTTATGTGTATATCACCATTTAGTTGTTCAATTCAATTTATTAATATTTTTTAAAAGAAAAACGTGTCCCCCTAGACTCACCTGGTTGGAAAACTTCGTATTTCAGTTTGGTAACTACGTCGGAAACGAAATTCGAGTCGGCATTAGCAAAAAAAGGCACTGACGCCACGAGGGATCTATTTAAGACAAATAAATAATTATAATTAGTAAATTAATTTTACTAATTCTTAAAGAAACTTTACAAAATAATAACTAATGACCCACCTGCAGTTGTAGTTGATGACATCCTCGCGCAATTTCTCGCTCAACTCGCCAAGTATCAACTCTTCATCGAAGAATTTACCCTGATACCGATGCTCGAAGTATTCCGTTATCCTCTGCCGCATATCACGCGGCAGCTTGCGATAGGCCATGTACTCCTCCACCTGCTTGACCTTCTCGCGGTACTGGCGCCGGCTAGAGTCCAAGCTCTGGATGAGATTGGTCGCATGACCGAGGAACAATGCATAACAGGTGGCCCCGGATATCATCGATAGCATCGTCAGCCACATGTCTGTCAGTGATTGTGGTGGGAATCTAAGGGTTAGAGAGGGAAAATTTAAGGATTATTTATATAATATATTTAAATAAAGAATCCTGTTACTCACCTGCCATAGCCTATGCACAGCATATGCGACATGGCCTTAAACAGTGCCCACGAATACTGCTCCAGCCAGTAGGATTCCTGGAAATGGAACAGCCCATTTTAGTTCGATAATATACGCTAATCGGGATTTACCAAGAAAAAAACAAAACAAGGCGCACCTGCAACTCGTTGATGGAGACCCAGGAGTTGGATGGAAAACCCTGCAACATTGGCACTAAGAACTGCAAGCAACCGCTCCAGTGGCCGATCAGGAGCATCATGCAAATTAAATTGAAGATCCTCATGAAGACCGAGGCCATATTGAGGAACTGCAACCAGAGAGGTCAATCAAAAATTGTGTACATCAACCAAGGTCCAACACCGCTCATATGTGTGTGTAGGTGTGTATTTGTGTGTTGGGTGTGTGATCATGGAGTAAGGAGCTACTATATAGAGTATCTTAGATCGTTATTAGAAGTAGAGGAATTTATTATAACAAACTTTATCGATTTAAAATCCATTTAAAATGTGCCTAGAAGTATGCAATAAGATCATAGCATACTTTTGGCCGTTTGAAAAATCCTTAACCAATTTTATAAAAATTTTCTAGCAACTCCTTACTCAATGATATGGTGTACTTGTGTGTTTGGGTGTTTTTGAGAGTGTATGCGTGTTACATCTGGGTGTGTGTGAGTTCCACATATTGTATATAAAACCAAATGTCTCAAGTAAACGATAGAAAGAATAACCCAAACGAGGAAATGATACTTGGAACTAGGAAATTTATATTAACTTTTTTTACTTTGGAACTTGGAGCATATTTTTTTATATTGTTTTTGGTGACTTTTGGCGTTTCCAGCTACCAGTAAATATAAACAGTTATTGCAGTTATGCCAATCAAAGCAACTAAAACAAACCAAACCACAGCCATTAAACAAGAAATTACTCAATCAATCGGCGCCTCCGTCTTTTTCCATCTCCACTCTGCCCCGTTCGTCGGTCTCCGACAGCCGATAAGTATGCTATGCAGATGGCAACCGAGGGGCTCGGAGTGGAGTGGAGATATGGTACGGCCGATAAGATAACATAAGATAAGATTAGTCTAGTGTTAGGCAATACAACAGTGTGTCCGGTGTGTACCGTGTGTACTTTGTGTACAGTGTGTACAACCTGAGCAATCAATCAAATCCAAACTCAATCAATTCAAAGTCAAATTCAAATTCAAACCATTTCTACGTTTTTTTTTTCGAATAGGTGCAAAATCAGCTGCTAGATTATGGTACAAGTGCTCATCTTTACTTTTGTTTTTTCATTGTTTTTTTTTTTTTTTTTTTGTATTTTGTTTTACGTTTGTTAAACATAATTATGGACACTAAGCCGTTCAAACGTTCAAATTATCGAAATCGAAACTCGTATTTTACAATGAAAGCGTTTTTTGGTTTTTTGTCTGACTTTCGCAGTTTTGTTAGTAATTTGAACTACGTAATTCTGTACAAAAGTTGTTTGTAAATTGTAAACGAACCAACGAAATGTTAACCAGAAATTAAACGGAAACGAAATAACCAAACGAACGGTAAACGAAAACATAGAGCAAGAGCAGGAACACAGAGATTGAGAGGAACATAGTGAGCAAGAGAGAGAGAAATAGAGGCAGAGAGGGAGCGGTATTGAGATAATAAAAGAAACGCTTGTTCTTGTTGTTGCATTCAAGAATTCAGTGTGTG